AATTCACTGAAATATTGTGTTGTAGATCTTAAATAGTTTTAAACCAGTTTTATTTTTTTAATTTCTATGAACAGCTATTAAACTGCGCTAACATTCATCCAGTCACAAGCACAATGGGGTATATGCACACAGACTTTTAAATTCAGCCAGCCAGCCTCAGCTTTTCCAGTGAACTGTCTTTCCATTATAAAATTGCCACGTTTAAGGTCTGATTTCTTTAAAAATCTGAGATCTTCACTGCATGATAGATAAACGATTTAAAATGGGTCAAAGACCAGACAAGAAGCACTGCATTAAATTCCAAAACAAATTTGACAGTTTATTTTACACCAATATTTTATATAATAATAGAATTTTTGTGCACGCCTGTTGATGCTGACAGCACTAGTGGTTACGTGGTCTTTTTTCTCATTTTACACTTGAAAAACGTAATGTATGCTTAAATCTATTCAACTGAATGTATTGTAATTACATTACAACATTGATGCTGCAAAAGGAAACTCGTAAAATTAAAAATAGTCCCATTAAGCTTTCACCGGAAGTTTATCATTGGCTGAAAAACACTAGCTGTGCATTTAGCCCATTAAATAAACAATAACTCGATGTACCAATATGGTGTATTTATCTTCCTCACAATAACATTTGTTTAACAGTACTCAGTGTATTTATAGCTACCTGGTTAGGACTAAAACTAATTTTAGTTTCTAAAACTTGTCAATTTTTTGGTTAAAGTTTTTTTTTTTTTGGTTAAGGTTTTTGTTAAAAAGCTGTATTTTTCAAAGGCAGTTAAAAATCTTTTCCAACCTTAGCATTTTGCCTTATAAAAAGTCTAAAATTTAATTCACAATTGTCTTTAAAATGTCTTAAAAAGTCTCTTACATATGACTTGTAGAAACCTGCAAAAGTCACATTATATGATTACATTGTATGCTTGATGAAAAATATTGCTGAAAGAAAAAAAAACACATTTTACACAATAATGGTCAAAGTAATTAAATTAAAATTGGCTGAAATGTTGAAAACAGGAATAGAGTTGACATTGACAGGAGCCGTCTATCACTCTAATACAATCCTCTCAAATCAGTCAGAAACTGGACAATTATTTGGTATCACACACTGTAAAAATTGTAATGACAAACAAAATTTTTAAGTTATACAACGTTTAACTTAATAATTTTCAGTCAGTTTAATTAATGTAAGTTGAAATGACTAGAAAAGATAATTTGATTCAACTATTTTTTTTTACTGTGCAACTTCATTAAATATAATGTTGTTTTTTTTGTTAACATTGGAAATATGACATGTATGGTAAGGGGTTTCTCTTGGTTTCTCTTGGATATTAAGGGTGCTGTTGGTTATTTTGGTGATTGATAAGCTGATTCAAATGGTTGTTAGAATGGTGGTTTTTGTATTTTTTGGGCTGTTGAAAGAGTGTTGGCTGTTAGTTCAGGTTCAGGGTGGTTACTGCAATAAAAGTCTCAATAAAAAGAGCACAATCATTTATGGTTACACATAATGGTTTGCACATAATAATATTAATATAATCGGGCAGCACGGTGGCACAGTGGGTAGCACTATCACCTCACAGCAAGAAATCTCTAGTTGAAGCTCAGTTGGCATTCCTGTTTGGAGTTTGCAAGCTCTCCCTGTGTTTGCGTGGGTTTCCTCTGAGTGCTCCGGTTTGCCCCACAGTCCAAAAACATGTGTTATACAGTAGGTGAATTGAATAAATTAAATTGGTCGTAGTGTATGTGTGTGAATACAAAAGTGTATGGGTGTTTCCCAGTGTTGTTACTGGAAGGGAATCTGCTGCATAAAATATATACTGGGTAAGTTGGCGGTTGATTCCACTGTGGTGACCCCTAATTATTAAAGGGACTTAGCCAAAAATAAAATAAATTAATAAATAATAATATGATGATGATCATAATGATGGTGAAGTTTGTGTGCAGGTTTACTGAGAACTGAGACACTGAGCATGTGATTCTTGTGACAACAAAACAGTGCATATGCTTATTTATTAAAACCTCCTTTGCAATTTAATAATCACACTAAACCATGTCATAATTTCATTTTTGTTTTTTTATTAATCATGCAGCCCTGTGCTTAATACAGCCTAACTGTATCTGATATTCTGCTCTACTGACTTCCTAAACAATGCCGAAAATGAAAACTCCCCAAAGTGGCAAAATGTAATCAAAATCATGTTTGCGAGTAGCTATATGAAATACCAACACAATCTCACGGTAATTCGTTACTTTTTGATTTAGTGGCTAATTGTTATAATTCGTATGACCTAATTTATACAATTTAGTACAATATCACTTAATGATGGTTGGATTTAGGGGTGGGGTTGGGTGCCACACCTCCTTTTTAAAATCATACAATTTTGTACGACTGAACTAAACTGACAAAAGGTAAAAGACTTATAAACAACTATTTCGAGTATTTCCTGGTATTTTCCTGGAAATATAACTATTTTATGATTTTGTCACTAATCTGTATGTTCAATTCATACTAAACTGTATGAATGAAATCGCACAAATTCATAGTAATTAGTCACTAAATCAAAAAGTTACGAATTACTATGAGATATCATTATAAATACTGACAATTGCTAGTTGGTGGGTAACAAAATGATGAATTAATACAATACAATGTATAAAGAATGACATCCATTTTTTTAAGTGATTTGCTGTTTCTAACATAGGCAAATCAAATTATATTTTTTGAAGATTGGCTGTTCTGGCATCACTGACAACAGTGAATCAAATAATGGGATAAATATGAGCTGATTGAGTCCAGAGCAGTGATTGCCCATCTTTTACGTTTCTAATAACTCTAACCTGAAACATGACTGCTTTTTTTTTAACAATCTTTTGTTTATAATTTTTTTTATTATTATTAGCTTGTTTATTCTGCAAAACCCAAGATTGTGGCAACACACCCCTGGAGTCATTCTGCCAATGCAAAAACACTGAGATGGTGCAAACGAATGGTTCTCTGCATTTTAGAGACGGATGATCTTGGTGAGAATGGATCTAAGACAGAGTAGCATGAATTTGATATTGCGACTATGATGATGGTCTGTTCCATTCGGTTCCATTTCCAAATGGGAAAAACACGGTAAATATGGTCAGGTCACTTTAAAACTATATAAATATCTGGATTTGCGGAAATGTTTTATAGCTAGTCACGAGCCATTGGCAGGTGTGGCAGTAAGTTGGTTTTAGGCCCTGAATATGAGCTTTCAACATAAGTCAGTGGAATTTTGTCACCTATTTTATTATGAAAAAAGTAGTATTTTCAAACCTATCATTTAATGATGGATTTCAGAGATGTAGATATAAATTTACTATACAGATTCAATAGTTTATATAAAAGAAAGCATATGGCAATTTCTATGGGTTTATGATTTCACCTTTGTAAAATCAGCTTGAAACATTATTTCCTTCCGTAAAGAAGGTTCAGCATCAACATTATTCATGCTTTCAGCTGCTGTGTCACCATTCAGTTCCTCTGACAGACTGTTTGTACAGGTGTTGTGTTTACTCCGGAAGGGGGAGGGGAAAGTGAGTTAGGCGAGTCAGAGTACAGTCTTTACATTTTTCTTTTCCCTATTGGAATCTCACCTCAGCTTTTGTATAGGGGGAGCTGCTACAGCTGTGTCCTTCAGAAGATGGGGCCGACAGCAGGGGTCCATCTCTGAATGAGCCAGGCCCTTCGCAAGTGAACAAGGAAATGTGGGTGTGTTGTCAAGAAATTAGGTAGTGAGTTGAACTAGGATGTTCCTGATGGGAAACTAGATTTCATTTGTCATTAGGGAGAACTTCATGCTGGCATTTGTCTACAGACATTTCTCCCGCATGACCTTCAGAGGATGTGGTGAGCGTCAACACAGTTCTTCAGCCATTTCATGCTGTTCTTGGAATCAGTTGCACAAATAGTACAAGGAATTTTTGGAGTTTCTTTCCAAAGCTGAATTTTTCTTCTCTTGCTCAATCAAAATCAGCATAAATATAATCTTACAAAGCTCATTTTTCAAAATGCTCCCCTCTTGCATTACGAGAAAGCTCCATTTTATCCTGAATCTTGGCAGTCATTATTCTGCAGATTTCAAAGGTCTTTTCCATTTTTTGTAAATTTCCATCTTGACTGTTAATTAATGCTTTAAAGTGAGAGTTCTATGAAAATTAGTGGTGTGTTGTGTGGCTATGCAGGCCCCTAGCCAGAGGGGGTTCGGGTGGTTTGAAAGACTCATCCCCTACTCACAATTTCCAGAATTTGGCCCCTTTTTGAGCTCATTTGTCGCATTAGTATGCCATCATAAACTGTAAAAATAACAAATAGAAGAAGGCTTTAAAACAAATTTAATTATATGTTATAATTTAAATGGACAAATTCTGACTGAGGAATTGGGCTGGTCAGTTTATTTGCCTATAGGCTACAGTTTTAACAGATTTCTATATTTTGTTTTTAATGGTGGATAATAATAAATTAACAAGTATTTTTTTGTATTTCTTTGTTAAAAATGTTAACTTAAAATTTTTATCTCATTACATTATTTATAAAACTGTAACAACATAATAAACATTGTAAATAAATATACATTTTTGTGAATATAAAATAGTATGGTAAGCACTTTGACAAAAAATAAGGACTTTTTTGTTGCATCAAAAAGTGTGGAATTAATAACACTATCCAGTATCCAGCAAACAATATTGCTTAAAATGTCACTAAAAAGCAGTATTTGGTTTTCATAATTTAATAGAAAATGAGGCAAATAACTGCTAAAGGTCCACTTTTTGAGAAAAAAAGAAGCTCACCTTTTAGCTACGGGCCTGCATTTACTGGTGCAAAGACAGCAACTATGTCATTTTACACACAGACTTCACCAAAATAGCAAAGAAAAGCCAGATGCCAGAACAGGAAGCAAATCTTCCTTCTGTTTGTGGATATTGTACTACCTGGTAGCCTAATATATATTCTGTCTCTTTCAGGATGTCAGAGTCAGTCTCACAGCAGGAGCGGCTCCAGGCTATTGCAGTAAGTCAGATTCTCACACCAAATGCTCCCCTGGCGGTCTCAATAAACCCACCTACTGAACCCATTTCACAAATGTGAAACTGGGTCAGAGATTTTTACATATGCAGTTTGGAAACAGCTGATTTTGAGCTGTGTCTAAAATGGCTTGTGTTGTCTAGTATCCTTGGCTGGAGACATATTATCGTCTGAAAAAACAACTGCAAAAGTGTGATTAAGTGTCATTATTTCAAAATTACAATTTATTTGTAACATGACAACCATGCATATAGACCATTTTGAGAGATGTAAACAGTAATGGTCCTAATGTATTTTCTGTTTTAAGTTTTAAATTTTCATTGTTTCTGAGAGTCAAAAACCCACCTATTGATAAATAATGTTATGAAAGCTGTTATAACATCAAGTTATAATTGCATCACCTCTTGCATCTGTGTGTGTATATGCAATAATATGTCCCATGGGAGTAGTAGTTCAGGTGAGTGTACATGAAAGTGATCTCCAAAAAGGAAACAATGCTGTCACTTATCAAATAATTAAAAAACACTAGCAAAAATATCACAGCATGGTATGCTATTGTGTGGTTGTTTGTGCTCACTTGTGTTTTGTTTAAGTTACATCAGTGGTTTGAGTAGGTATTATCTCAATATTAATGTTAATATCATATGATTTTTATTAACAGGAAAAGAGGAAAAGGCAGACAGAAATTGAGAATAAGAAAAGACAACTAGAGGATGACCGACGGCAGCTTCAGCACCTTAAGGTAAGACAATGACAAGAAAAGGCCCGATCAATGCAGTTTATGTTATCACCTGCTAAGATACTTTACACTGAAAACCCTAATAAGTTAACTAAACTAAATTAATTGAGTAAACTCCTTGCCTCAATTTAATTGAGTAATAGAGTTTCCCAAAACTTGCATATTTAAGTTGATTTAACTTTTCGGTTTTGTAGACTATACTTAAATTGTTCAGTTCACCAAACTTAGTTATATATATATATATATATATATATATATATAACTATAAGTAGCCTTTTACTGAAAAAAAAAGACCTTGCACTTAAAAGGTTGCACATATTATAATTTTACAGTCAAGACTACATTTGTGAAAGTTACCTATTTTTTTTTTATTTAAAGGATTAATTATAAGTTGGAGCTCACTACACTTGAAATCTTAAGTCTATACATTTTTATGGTACATAAGTAAAACCCAAATCAAGGTTATAAAATGGCTGTAAAATCTGACTCTTTGTTTATTTAAAAAATAACCTTAGTTTATTATAATATGACATAGTATTTCATCAAATTTTATTAAGTATTTGTGAGTTAATGTCATAAATATGCTTTAATAATTACACACTAACTATTAAATAGCAAATTTATATAGTTTTTTTCTTCATATGTCATAATTAATATTTTATCTATTAGGTGTTGTATGACTGTCATATTTACAACTTATGTCCTACATTTATCTTATGACTTATCATAACTATAATTATGCATTTATGTTACATATTAATTTGGTCATAATTCTAAATTAGCAATGAATTATGTGAGAAAAGTGCAAAAACACTTTGACTGATATTCTTCCTTTGTACATGTCTTCAGAGAAAGCCCTGGCCATTAATAACAAGCACACATCCACCATTAGAGTTTTCGAGCCAAACCTGCTGAAGATAGTGTCAGAGATTATAGTTTTAGGATGCACAGATGAACACCGTAGTCTCCAAAGACGACATTTTTCTGAGCCACTTCATTTGGCATATTCAGGTTTTCACAGAGATAAAATTAGTCCTGTTTTAAATCTGCCACTATTCTGACATATAGGCATTTGTAGCTCCACCCACTTTTAAAAAAGAGTGCTGGGAGCACAGTCTCATATGTCATCATTTATATTTTATCTATAAATTAATATATAAATTTATATATAAATTGTTGCTGTATGACTCATAATTTTAATTTTTGCCATATATTTATCTTATGACTTAGTATATAATAATTAAATCTTTTATTATAATTATAATTATACACTTATATTACATATTCAATTGTTCATAATTCTAAATTTATTATGAATTGCATGACAAATGTACATTCAAAGTATTTGTTTTTCAATGTTTATTAATTATTCTAATGGTCTTTAAGCAATTTCAGGTAAAATGTCCCTTTAAGCAAAGACAGTTGGAATATGGTTCCCTGTTATAATTGAGTATTGCATTTTAAGCATGTCTGATGATAGCATCTTTGACAGTGGGCCTTGAAACATCAGTGTTGACCATTGACCAGACCACTGTAATTCGGTGCAGTCTGGGCCAAAAACACCCTGTCAGACACAGGAAGAAGAATCTTCCATGGGGGATGATGAGACATCCTGTTTGTGTAAAGAGGGAAATGTTTCACTTTGCTAAAAATGGTGTATTGTCTCTGTGGCCCTCGGGTCAGGTGTACAAAATCGTGGACTGTTGGTGGTCTGTTTACTGTTCATGATATAAGGGGTTTAAACACAGTTGTGAGATAACTGTGTGTGAAAATAATCAGCCGCTAATGGTACACATGCATTAATTCTATTTTTTAATAATCACACCTCATAAAAACAGTCTGCAGACACTTATTGTTTAAATTTGATATTCTTCCTTTGTACATGTCATCAGCGAGAGAAAGCCCTGACCATTAGTAACAAGCAGACATCTGCCATTAGGATTTTCGAAGCATACCTGCTGAAGATAATGTCAGCAACTAAGAATTGAGTTTGAGGATGCACAAAAGAGCACCATAGTCTCCATACCTTCTTCTGAACCACTTCATTTGACATTTTCAGTTTTTCATAGAGATAACATTAGTCCTGTTTGAAATCTGCCACTATGCTGACACACAGGGCTTGACATAAGCTTTTTTGATCACCAGCCTCTATGGCTAGTAGATTTCCAACATTACTAGCCACTTGCCATTTTCACTAGCAACAATTTTGTTGGTTGGAAAAAAAATATTTTGTATTAATAAACGTGACTTTGACATGCTAAAACGACTTGATTTAGATGTGTTGTCCACATGCCTGCTCATTTATTTCACTGTTTGTGTGTGTTGTGTGTGAGCTTGCTCTCTGTGCATGAGCAAATGGGTTGTGTCGCATTAAAATTGTTTTTTATTTCACATGACTTTTTTTAGGGCTCAAAATTAAGGATTTACCAAATTTATCTCTGACCACACCAAAAAGAAAATGTATTTCTTAGCCACACATTTTAAATGTGTCAAAAAAAAGCAAATAAATAGCTGTATACATGCACAAAACTCTTTTTTTTTTTTTTTTTTTAAATGACATTTAAAAATAACTATTATCATGTCTAAAATATGCACAGTAATCTGTCCTGGCTAAAGGTCCCAGATCAGAGGTTACTACACATAAATGTGGAGTTAATATCATATTAAAGCAATGTTATTGCAAAGTATTATAATTAAACTATATTAACAAAATAACTGTAAGCAACAGAAAGCAGGTAAAAACATACCACGAATGATAGTGAAAGGATGATCACGTGCGTGAGAATAATTCAAACGAGAGCAGTGACTACTGCTGCTGCTTACAAATGTTTGCAGCTTACACGAGCATCGCTTTTTGTCCAGTCAATTTCAAAGAGAACCGATCGCAACAGTTGCGCTTCCTCTACGCACGGTTGTTTTTGCGCACGTAAACGGTAGCTTTTTAACAGTCGCGCGCATCACATCACCTGTGCGCGTGAGTAATCATCCTCTCATAAGGTATTCACCTGCTTTTGCTCGCGCGAACACAGTTATTGTTGTCCGTCGTGCTGCTTCTCGATTCTTAGATCACATTTGCACGCATATTGGGCCATCCTTATTGTCGAAACCTACTTTAAGAAAACTACAATGTAAAAATTATTTCCAACTTGCCAAAGTGGATCGTGGGAGCGGCTGTCTTAAGCCTAGTTTATACTTCTGCGTCAAGTGACCGGCGTATTCCACGGCACATGCGACGCGCGTAGCTGTGCATTTATACTTCTACGCGCTGTCTCGGTTGATCTGCATTAACACTTCCGAAACGCTAGTTGGCAGTGAGGTGTAAATGTTCCTCTGTGTCGAGGTTCTTCGCTGCTGTTTTGCTTTTCCTGAACACTTCCTGAATGTACAAGTGGCTCAAACTCGCTCATTTTGAGGCAGGAACTGGCGGACGTGCATCAACTTTAACTATGAGGTAAACAAAAAACAAAACTTTACATCCGGAGCTCCTTCACAGGACTCCACACTTGTAAACAATAGCTCCATTGGGGTCGCACCATTCGCGCAGCTCTGGTCCCGCCCAGACTCGTCATCGCTACTAAGCCGACCAATCACAGAGCTTGCGCTACGCGCCGATTTGAGGTTCACGTCAGCAACGCTGATGGCCATGGCGTAGGGCTATGCGTCAACGCTGTAGCATACGCGTGCGTTTGACGCAGAAGTATAAATCAGCCTTTACCCACCAGAGGCTGAAATCTACCCGCATTTGGCGGGTTGGCGGGTGTTAATGTAAAGCCCTGCTGACACATATGCTTTTGTAGCTCCACCCACTTTTAAAAAGAGTGCTTGAAGCACAGTCTAATTTGAATGCAACAGTCACCAAAACAGCACAATTTGGATCAAAACCTAAAAGGGGCCATTTAAAATAGTTATAAAACATTATTTGTGGGGTATTTTAAGTTGAAATTTCACACAGACCCTCTAGCGACATCAGATAATTATTTAAAGTCTTGTAAAAAGGGGAATAATTAATTCATTTTCTTTTCGGCTTAGTCCCTTCATTAATCTGGGGTCGCCACAGCGGAATGAACCGCCAACTTATCCAGTATATGTTTTTACGCAGCGTATGCCTTTCCAGCTGAAACCTATCACTGGGAAACAACCATGCACTCTTATTCACACACATACACTATGGACAGTTTAGCCTAACCAGTTCACCTATACCACGTTTTTGGACTTGTGGGGGAAAACGGAGCACCCGGAGGAAACCCATGCGAACACGGGGAATAATTGGTCTCCTTCAATGTCTCCGGATAAGTACCAAGCTACCATACGACACTGATACACAAGCCTGATAAATGCTACCTCAGATCATTTTTGTGAACCAACTTTTGTGTTTAGTAGAACTTCACATCTTTATTTTAATCTAGATGTATTTGATGAGTATAGTGGCACAAATGTGTCACTCATTAACTCTCTGTTAACACTGAGCTCTTGGCCAAAATCCAATTATAATGATGCTACTGAACACTTAATTGAAATATTGAGTCAACTAGTTTGAGCAGTTTGTTTGCAAAGACATGCTCTATAGGTGAGTTGGATTAACTAAATTGGCCATAGTGTGTGGGTGTGAGTGATTGTTAAATTGTATGGGTGTTTCCCAGTACTGGGCTGCACCTGAAAGGGCATCCGCTGCGTAAAACATATGCTGGAATATTTGGCGGTTCATTCCGCTGTCGTGACCCCTGATAAATAAGGGACTAAGCTGAAGGAAAATAAATGAAAGAATAATTCTAGATGTGGATAAAGGTTTTTTAGTCCTTTTGCAAAATTATTTTATTTTACTTAAACTGTATAATGCTAATCATACTGGGAACTACTAATTTACTAGAAAAGCTTTACATTGCACTTATATTACTTCTGTCATATTCTGTATGTATACCATGCAGCCTATATTATGCTTTTTTTTCTGTATGTGTAAAGTCAGATCAGCTTTGTAAAAAAAAGCAAACACATACATTGTTTTT